ATAGTTTAATTTAATGCTACATCCAATTGAGACCAGAAAGTAGTCAAAGCTATGACAGCAAACTGTTAATATTGTTGAATGTAAAGGTAAAGGTACCCCTGACCATTAGGTCCAGTTGTGACCGACTCTGGGGTTGCGGCACTCATCTCGCTTTATTGGCCGAGGGAGCTGGCGAACAGCTTCCGGGTCATGTGGCCAGCATGACAAAGCCACTTCTGGTGAACCAGAGCAGTGCACGGAAACGCCGTTTACCTTCCCGCTGGAGCAGTACCTATTTATCTACTTGCACTATGACATGCTTTCAAACTGCTAGGTGGGCAGGAGAAGGGACCAAGCAACAGGAGCTCACCCCATCGCAGGGATTCGAACCGCCGACCTTCTGATCAGCAAATCCTAGGCTCTGTGGTTTAACCCACAACGCCACCCGCGTCCCTTTTGTTGGGTGTAGTGTCAGACAAAAAAAGGCAAAGACTGGTAGTATTCCCATCATGAACCACTTGCTCACCTCCTTCCTACTGTTTCAAAGCACTGAAGTGCATCTCTGCATCCTGTAGATAATGCTGTCAACTTTTTAACCTTGTCACATTGCCTTTAGCTGTTGACTTGTCCTGGCATGGAGAAGAATGTCATCATCTACTAATTGCTGCAGGACATGTTGCTGTTAAAGGCACAGCTACAAAAATGAGTTGAAAAGTTGGCATATCTCACTGTCGGTATTCACTTACCCTTCTCTTGCCTGTGATCCTTGGATGACACCTCATTCCTATAACTCCAATTACTAGAGTTGCTCCTCTACCCATTTAGAACAACACTGCTTCATCTAGACAGTCTCTGCTCAGAGAAATTTCCACAGTTATGAAGAACCAGGTCAGCAATGAAGATATGAATCTTGGTATGTGACTGCAGGCAAGATTTAGAATAGCTCACAGGACTTCCAAAGCAGGGTATGTTAGTAAACAGATCGTGTCTGCTTCTTTTTGATGCTTGGTTTACTAACATTGTAGAAGGAAAGCTGGTAGTGTTTTAAAGCATCCTCAAAAGACAGAGGCAAAATAAGGGCAAGGATTTACTGGGGACAAGTATAAGAAAATAGTTATTGTCCTTGGTAAAAGGTAAAGGGACCCCTGACCATTAGGTCCAGTCATGGCTGACTCTGGGGTTGCAGCACTCATCTCGCTTTATTGGCCGAGGGAGCTGGCATACAGTTCATGTGGCCAGCATGACTAAGCCACTTCTGGTGACCCAGAGCAGTGCACGGAAACGCCGTTTACCTTCCCACCGGAGCAGTACCTATTTATCTACTTGCACTTTGATGTGCTTTCGAACTGCTAGGTTGGCAGGAGCTGGGACCTAGCAACGGGAGCTTACCCCATTGCGGGGATTCGAACGGCTGACCTTCTAATTGGCAAGTCCTAGGCTCTGTGGTTTAACCCACAGCGGCACCCACGTCCCTATTGTCCTTGGTAGGTAAGGACTTTTTGAGGATCTCTATTCTATCTAATCCATCTATCATCTATATCTCCAGATTGTAAGGATTGGTAGTATTTATTATGATAGGATGTGGTGTTTTAACTTCTTTTTACGTACTTTACTCCTTGGGACAGATGGGCTAGGCAGCAGGGAAATGCAGGGACATTTGTCTATAGCCCAGGTTTTCACCTTTTCTACTTTTAGGAAATTGGCCATGATGGGTAAGGCTTCTGTGATGGGTTGAACCATTCCCAACATATTCCCACACTATATTAGTGTAATGTGAATGGAAAATGTTTTCTTGTCATGTGTGTGTTCAGTGGCAGGTGGAATGGCCATGCAAATTTGGGGTGTTTCTTTAAAAAAAAAATATTGCCTGAGTATGTGAGACTGAACAACACTGTTTGGCTGTTGCATTCTAGGAAGTCAGAACAAGCTGTAGAAGTCTATTTAAGAAATAAGCAAATACATAGAAAAAAGGAAAGCCACAACCCCCAGCAACAAAGTAGGAAGAAGAGAGTGATGTAACCTGACTAGACAGTCAGAAGGAAAGAGGAAGGAAAACCTTCCTGAGGAAGGAAAACCACATTGCTTGAAATGCCAAGTTGTGGAGAGCGAAGTACTTAGAACGTTGCACAATCGTAGTTTTGTGTCAGTGTAACAGGAGGAATGCAACACAAGGTCAGTGTGACACAGTAACCTTGCGTTATGTTTCAGCAGAAGCATTGCACCAACACAAAACTATGATTGTGTAATGTTGTAGGTCAAAATGCAGATGTTAGTTAACTTCCTCCATTTACTTTTCTAGATAAAGGGCATGGTTATTTAGGATGTGTGTAGTAGGTAGCTAGAAACCTTCCAGTTTCTAAGGTTGCCAAGATTGATACAGCCATTACATGAGAAAGCCCATTTCTTCTCTTCTCCACTACGCAGAAAACACTTTGTGTAAAGCGGATGTTCTATGTAAAGGCACAATTATTTAGAAGACCTGTTTGCATTACTCATTCCCTCCAAATAGTGGTGGGAAGATAGCACAAATGCAGACCTTAAACTATCTGCAATTTACTTCCATACTCAGAATATTCATGTTGGGCAGTATTCAACTAGACAGTTTGGCACAACAGCTTTTAGCTGCACAGCGTAACTTCCTCACCCACTTCTTCCCCCATTGTGCACCTACATCCCCCCTAAAACTGTTGCAATTTCACATGAAAAGCAATGCCTTCTGTTCATGCAACAGCACCTTTGGATCCAAGCTATATATCGTATTGGCCCAAATTTATGCCGCACTCCCCCCACCCCCAAATTCCAACCGTGAAAAGTTAAAGTGCAGCTTAAATTTGCAACCTTACAGAAATTGGCTTTTACGATATTGCTGTAGCATTTTCTTCTGTTAGCCATTTATGGGTGTGAGTGCCTGCGGAATTTTAAGGGAGCAGCTTATATTTGGGTATTGTCTCCCCACCCCCCCACGCCTTGAATTTTAAAGGTGCGGCTTATTTGTGTGTGTGGCTTATATTTGGGGCAATACGGTACCTGGAAGTAAAACCCAGTGGTTTGAACAGACCTGAGGCCATCTGTATGTACTTAGGATGGTATAACTCACAAATTTAAGAAATATTTGTTTCAATTTTCATCGCATTCCACCCATGCGTCCCAAAACCTTTTGTCTTTGTGCAGCCTAACAAGTCCTCTTTGTACAGCTGAATAGCCTAATAGGCAGTGTTTGTAGAGTAAGGGCATGTTGTATATGAAAGAAGATTGCGGTGGCAGTGCACTGGATTTATGAATGAAAGCGCTCATTACCTAAGCAGATTAGGATTTGTGAACTATGAATGGATTGCTCCTATAAATGGGTCAGAGTGTTCTGAAATTATCAGGGCAAAGCTTTATTTTGATTTTAAAGGAGCAGGGTTAAGTAGAGTATCATAATGGTGGGATACAAACATTTGCAATTAGGTTCAGTCAGATGCTTTGATTTTCATTTTGGCCTTCTTAACCATATTGAACGTAATCATTGGGAGGGAGAGGGATATAAGGCTGTTAGAATGAGTGACAAGCATAATCATTCTCTTGAATATAATATTTGATACTGAATAGCTAAAACATAGTAGAACAGGTTGACAGAGGAGGTACAGTACTCTGAAGGGTACACAGGTCATCCGCTCACCTTTTCTCTTTCAATTCCAAATAAGGGCCACCCTCAGGAACTGCCAGCACAGGCTCCCTGAAATGAACAAGGGGTACGCAGCAGCAATGATTGGTGGGTTGGAACTGCCCTTCATAGAAGAGCATGCTTGAGATTTTAAGTTAAGAAGAAATAACAGATGGGGAACCCGTGGCCCTCCAGATGTTGTTGGACTTCACCTCAAATCAGCCCCTGTCAGCATGATTGGTGGTCAAGAATGATGGGAATTGTAGTCCGACAAAATCTGGATTGAGACAGTTGCCTCATCCCTATACTGGTCAATGAGTTAATTTCTTGACAGTTATCTCTCTAATGCTATCTAATTCATCCTCTCTCCCTCACTGTCAAATATGTCAATCAAAAGCGAGAAGCTTAAAAGCTTAGGGTTGGGACTGACTTCTGTGGCCTGCACAAGCTACCTGAATGTATCACATGTGGATTGAGTTTGGCTGGTCTGGTCAAGGATCGTTCCACCCAAGGAACTGAAAAGTCACACAAAATTCTCTTTCCTTGAATTTGTTTTCCTTGACTCTTTGAGAACTATGATTTCTTCTTGCCGTTTGCCCTTTCATATCTTTCTCCTTGATTCTGTTCCTTTCCATGAATTCCACCATAGATGTGCTTGATTTGATCACCCCCTTAACTGTTTGCTCTGGTATTCCTGGCCATGAACCTGATGTGTCGCAATCCTTCTCCAGACCTGATCACCTACTGCAAGCAGGTTGGGCTGGTGATTGCTGCTAATTGATCTCCTATGTTTCTAGAACTTTCTTGTGTGCAATACAATTCTCAAAATTCCCTTGAGAGAAAAAAATGTTTTATCATTATATCTAAGACAGGGGTCAGCAACCTTTTTCAGCCATGGGCTGGTCCACTGTCCCTCAGACCATGTGGGGGGCCGGACTATATTTTGAAAAAAAATAATGAATGAATGAATTCCTATGCCCCACAAATAACCCAGAGATGCATTTTAAATAAAAGGACACATTCTACTCATGTAAAAACACGCTGATTCCCGGACCATCTGCAGGCCGGATTGAGAAGGCGATTGGGCCGGCCCCGGCCCCTGGGCCTTAGGTTGTCTACCCCTGATCTAAGAAAAGATAGCTGAAATCTCAGATGGCAATGGTAATGAAACTTGGAGGATTTATTTTTCCTCCAATTCCATCTTTTTCTTTTCTGATACTATTGCTCATACTTTCTTCTTTTTTATATAAAATTGGGGGCACAGTATTACAATAGTAGATCACTAGACAAAAACAACCACCTGTTGTTTAATTTGGAAGTCTCTGTCATTGCTATTCAGTGATTGTCATTATATTTAAGGTTTTGTTGTTTCTAGGAAAGAGGCGGAGAACGGTCTTTATCACTCCCTGGATGGCCACCTTCAGCCACTTCACGATCCATGTCCCCTGTCTCTCCTGTGGTGTTTCAACCTGTTCCTGATTATTTTAGCAAACCACCTCCTGCAGCTGATAAGCCTGGGAAGAGGCTGACTCCTTGGGAAGCAGCCGCCAAGTCCCCTCTTGGGCTGGTGGATGATGCCTTCGGCCCACAGACCATTCAAGAGTCGATAGCTGCAAATGTTGTGTCTGCTGCTCGCCGGAAAACACTGCCTGCGCCGCCGGACGAGTGGAAACAAAAAGTGGCTTATGAGCATCCTGCTCCCAGTGCCCATGCAAAATTAGCTTCGTTTGGAAGGAGCCAGTCAGCGGCCTTTTTCCCTGCAAAGAGCACAGTGTCTGCTCCGAGCTCCACTGCCCCCTGCAGCTCTCGTCTACAGTATGCATACTATGGCCAACGTGCCCAGACAGATCCTGACATGGTCTCCATGGATTCCAGGTCTGATTACTACCTGTCACTAGCTGACTCCAACTATAATCCACTTCCAAAGGGATGGAGGCGCCAAACATGAAAAGCGGAAGGCCCTCTTTTAGCTTCTCTTCTTGAAGTTCTACAAGTCTTAGATTCGAGGGGGGATTGAAAATGTGAAGAAGTGTGTGGGACAGGTGTTGGCTGGCCTGATAAGATATTGACAAAAGAGATCAAGCGTGACCTAAAATGTAGCACAGCATCCATGCTGTGGATCCAGTAGCACGACAGCTTTTGATCCCAGCTTCAGAGCTTTTCTTTGTCTTTGGGTGCATGTGTGTGTGTTAAAAGGAAATCAAATTTGTGGAAGAATGAAATTCAAAGGTGAAAGCTTCAGCTGGGAAGAGTGCAACAATTGTGGGATTTGAATGTTTGTAAATTAACCAATGAGCCTTTATCAAGAACATATCCTTGGGTCTTTTGAAAAGCTGCCTTTCTGTTTTCCATCCCTGGTCTCTGTTCAGTGTAAATGTCATCACTGACTTAAAACAGTTTCACAGGGGTTGGATTTTTGACTAAGTCAAATGGGGCTTTCCCTAGCAAATCATGGATTAGGGAAGGGCAGGAGCAAGCAAAGATTTCCTAAGTGAGGGATAGCCTCTTGATGTTGTTGGGCTCCAGCTCCCATCAGCATGGCCAATGGTCAGGGATAAAAGGAGTTGTAATCCAGCCAATCAGAGTTGACAATGCTGAACCAGGTGAACAAATAGTCTAATGGTATATGGCAGCCTCCTAAATTCATGCACAACTTGTTGTTGAGCTCTGCTCCTACTTATAAATATCAAAACCATATTTGCATGCAAATTGCAGGTACAGTAGACCTTTCTAAAGGGATGAACTGTGACAAATTTCCGGAAGATAGTTGCAAGGACAGACTTTAGCATTTTGAGGAAGGGTGGAAATTGCTCCTCTAAGGGTGTGGTTTTTTATGACGGGGCAATCAGGTTGAAAACTGGAGACAGGAGGGAGGTTCCCCTGAGTAAGAAACCTGTTAAAGCTCAGGCAAACAGTTCCCAAAGTTGTATGTTACTGGCATTTTTTTAAAAAGAGGGGGGGGGAAAGCTGGGAAATCACAATTTTTAATCGTCACCCCCAACCCCTGTTCTGAAAGTGGACTCCAGAAGGGGTGAGTACAGCTTCCGTCATTCTTCATCATGCTGCTTTGGCCTGATTGAAGTTGGAATCAGACAACATCTAGAAGACCGCAGGTTCCCCACCTCTGCCTTAGAGCAACACTGCTTGCTGTCTGATGCTACTCCAAAATATTGAAAACCTGCAATTCATCCTGATAAACTTCCTCATCCTGTTTACCAGTTCAAAATTGGCAGCTATGCTGGGGAATAGCCTTCTTTGAAGGTTATTCAGCTTGAAATGCAGAGAGGTGAATAAGATGTGATACTACTTTTCACAGACATTCACAGTCTAGCAAACTAGATGGCAAAGGAATAAGATGGCCTGAAGAAGTGTGGCAATGGTTTGGTGGGTTTTTGTTGTGGTTGTTTTTGATGGGGTGGGGGGAAAGAAACAGTATGTTCTGTGTTCTGCCAGATCTCTAGAAATCTTTAATAGTCTCTCTACAGGCATACATGTTGTGGACAGTGAGCCTGTTGTGGTTCATTGCATTTTCGATAGCTGTGCCACCTTCTTAAAATAACCAAACGCCTGTTTCCAGCCAAAGCTGGCTTGCAGAATGCGGATTGGTTGCTCCTGTGGCAATTACAAAGTCACTCCCTCTTCTCCACCACCAGCTGGGGCAAAGTTTATAGTGAAATAAACAGCAGGATTGACGCTGAATAAACCATTTATCAGATATCCAAGCTGAGTATTAGCAAAAATAGCAATTGAAAAGAAACATAGGGTATGAAGTGCAAAGCCATGGAGGATTTGAAAGCAGATAAGTTTGTTGCAAAAGGAAGAGGTAGGGGTGGATGTCCATCTTGATTTCTCTCTGTTTCCTATTTCTCCAATCTAAAAACATCTTATTACATGGTATAGAGACTGACCAAGCAATTGTTTTAAAATGGCCATGCGACAACTCTGATGCTGTCCATTTTGGTATGGGTTGTTAAGAGAGCTGATCCATTATACTGTGCAGTCCCAAGAGATTGCCCAGCACAACCCAAAATGTGTACTCCAGGATCCCTTGAAATGTCATTGTGCATGTGCTTCAAATCTGCAGTCATATTCAGCCGTGTGCAATGCCACAAATAGTACCCCAGAATTCTCTTCAGATCTGAAACGGACCCTGTGATATATGCACAGTTGTCAATAGGGATGAGCAAATCTGTCAGGTTCAATATCTCTCAGTTTCTCATTTTTCCACTCTTAAATTCAGTTCTCCGCATTTCCATATCAACACCCTCACTGCAGAAAAACCCACCACTTTGAAAATACACTAGCATTTAGTACATAATTCTCCTTATATACACATTTTGATATTCACTTTTGATTAATATACATATTTTGCAAAGCAGATGTCTGAAATCTAATGCAACTTCGTGTGGTATTTTTGCCAATATGTGCATACTTGTGCATAGCCTAGTATGTGCATGTGCATGTACAGACCGGCAGACAGGCATACATACATAGATCCCCCAACCCTCCAATCTTTAGTATAGCAACCCTGTGAGTTTCATGGCTAAATTTGGTAAGCTGGTCTCACAAGACCATCTGCTTGAAGACGTGTGGCAAAGTCTGGTGCATGAAGAAATTATTCCTAGCATTTGAACACCACAGGGATAAGGATGACCTCAAAATCACAGGGTAGATAAGGTAAGTGGGAAGTAATGCCTTAGATTTTGTTCAGAGTGATTTGGAGGCACATGTCTCCTTTGGAGCTTCAGAAGTTGCAAATGTTTGTGAAATGTGAACCTTACTAACCCTTCAGTGGCTCACATTCTCTTGTGTCACTAGTAGATGAGTATTTGTCATGGAACTTTTGATTTATCAAGATATCAAAACATAGATATAGTGCAGCTTTTCCTCAACCAGTTGCCTCTAGGCATTTTGGACAAGCTTTTAAAACATTTGGAATGCAATAGGTTGGGAAAGGCCGCTATAGATCAACAATGTAGAAAGTCAGTTTTGTATAGAAGTAGATTTCTGATAAGTGTTCAGTGGTTTGAGCCTAGTTTAAGGGAACCTGTATAGAGACATGCATTAATTCAATTCAGCAATATCCAACCTGGCGGCCTCCAGGTGTTGTTCAACTTCAACTCCCATGATCCCTCACGATTGGCCATGCTGTTTAAAGGCAATGGAAGTTTTGGTTCACATCATCTGGAAAGTATCACATTGGCTGTCCCTGGCTTAACCAAAGTTAGGGCCAGTCCAAGACATTTTATTGCCTGGGGCAAAAGGCAATATGAAACTCCACGTTGTGGATTTGAGACTCATGTGCTGGTTTATTGGGGGCCAGAATATGTCCCAAGGGATCAGGTTTCTGTTTTGAAATGCTTTGCCTTTCTATCTGGACCATGATTAATTAGCTTCCCCCAAACATAAATGTAGCCAAATGCAGCTACACACCCACCCTGCCCTTTCTCAGTATTGAAAAATCAACCATGAATGTTTTCTTTCTGAATATTTGTACGAAACCTAATATGGCACGGATAAAAGCATGAAATCATATCTGATCAGAGCATGGATACTTGAGGCCCCTTCAAATAATTTTCCCATCACAAGAAGGACTGTACAGAGGACTTGTGTCTTTCTGTCTGGGATGTTCTCTGCTCCTTGAGAATCCTGAGAACAGTAACCCTGAGGATTGTCCTCGATGCACCCATCATGACACGTCTGACCACAGGGAAGTCATGAGATAATCAGGGGATTGTGTATGGCTAGGTAACACATGATGGAACTTATATGGAATGTTACAAACCCTTAGCCCTGCCTATCATGGTGAGGGTGACTCTAGCTACTCTGGTTTTAGGCTTCAAGCCACAGGCTCACTGAATTCAATGGGAGTTTTTGCTTCCCGTGGTCCAAAGGTTTTAAGAATTAACGATATCCAAAGCCATTAAGCTAGTTGTGCCGACAGACAAGGTCATGACATGAAATCCTGCTTGGAAGAGACTCTGCCTTGAATTTTTTTCTGTTGAGTCAAACCTGACTAACAGGGCATTATATAGAGCCCGTTTTCCTTTTGGCCTTGTTCACACTGTGGCATTATCTACCAGAGGATTTGGTGATGGCCACCAACTTAGAGGGTTTTTAAAAGAGAATTAAACTATACATGGACAATGTGGCCGCATGTCCTGTTTCACAAGTTCGGTTTTAAAGCCAAAGAACCCCCAAGAAGGGGAAACAAGTGCTTTGGGGTTGTCTCTCAACAGTTAGCAGCACCTGGACGGCAGACTAGGCAGGCACAAAGGCACTAGGTGGACAAAAGCAGGGCAGTGATATTGTCGTGTTTATAGGATACCCATAGGATGCTGGACTAGATAGTGTCATCTTAAGTTAGGTTCAGTTGTGGGTGAGGTTTGGTATGGACAGTGTGTCTTCACACACACACACACACACACACACACACACAGTTGTTTCTCAATGAAAACAAATCAGAGAATGTCAAGGGTATTAATGTCTCATTGAATTCAGTAGAATTTGAGCATGCTTAACTTTCTCTGGATACATTAACATGGGTGATTAGATCCCACTAAGGCTGTAAACCTAAGCAAACTCCTCTGGGACTCCAACAGGACTTGCTTCAAGTAGACATGCATAAAATTACACTCACACATGTAATGCTCCATAAGAAGAATTTGTCTATTTCATATTGATGACTGATTAGTCTTTCTAATTCATTGCAGGTGTGATTTTTACACCTAGTTCCTAATCCAGTCCTTTTGGCTTTAGCAGAATTGCCAGCTCCTTGTTCTTTCTGCATGGTTCTTTTCTCTCTTTCTCTCTTCTGAAAATTTAAATCCCATCTATCTCCAGTACATGGCACATGAAAAAAGTAAGACAAGGAAAAGAAGGGTAAATATTTAAAAATGTGCATTGATTCAGATGATGTTCCGAAAATGTATGCTAAGCCTACAAACAAAAATCTTAAGCTGCTTCCTCCTGCTGTGCTTTACAATAGAAGGAGAGTGAATTTAAATTCTGCTCTGAAAAAACTAATCTGGATTTGCCATTTCACTCGACATGCAGGGATGTCTGCTTGGGTGTTTGAAGAAAATGTTATTAATGTGCAGAGGGGATGCCTTATGATTTAGGAGTTCAGATTTTGCAAGGTTTGTCGTAGCTAACTTGGTGAGGAATGGCCACATGCTTCGCTACGATCTATTCAACTCAGCTTCTCTTAAATGCCATTACTTTGTTTAGAAAACTGAAGTGGAAGAAGAGATATTGTGCTTTGTAAGATTAAACTGATGGGGCAAAAAGCAAAGTTTCAGGAGATCAGATGAGACAGCAGAAAAGGAAGTGGGAGTACAGACTCAGATGGGGCATGAATGCCACTTAAAAACTTGATGGGTTTAGTGGTTTGCGGCAACACTGGTGGTGTACTTCTCATTTTTGCAGATTCACTGACCATACATATAGTGATCAACTGCATTACGCCAATGTGTGTGGCCCTGAAATCACTACAGGCTGATAAGAATTTTGACTGTCATAGACTATGAAAGTAAAGGTTTCAGAGGAGGCTTAATATAAAGGAAATCTTGGAAGTTTGGACAGGTATTGCTTAAAATGCTGGGAACTGATGCACATTTGTTGCATTGCTGAATGGGTAAATAGAAGCTCAGCTTTCTTGAAATTACTCTTAGGATCCCATTTATTACTGAAATAACTGTGGAACATCAGAAGGACTGAAGTAGCTTGTGTTGTGCAGTGCACAGTTTGGTTTAGTATTACATCTGAAGCCGACTCCTGGTTTGTTTTCCCCTAACAAACCATGGGCGGTAAGAAAAATCACATTCTTTTGCTTTGCTTGCACTGTACACTTTCTTCCAGCCCCACTTCTTTGATTGAAATAGGTATGTGCAAGTTTTGTGTGAGTTCTGAACATTCATTCAAGTACTTTACTTTTTTTCCCTGTGCCTGTGTGTAAAGGAACAGATCCTATCTGCTGAAGGAAGAAAATACTCTGGCAGTATTAAGTAGCTGTTACTGACATTCCCACAGATTCTTACATCACAGAGATTTCTGCATAAAAGATGCCAGAGACTCTGAATATGTGACTGAAAGTGAATTTTCCATGTTTATACTCGAAGAAAGATATCTTACTTTTGTGATTATTTTGTTTTGCTTCAGTGCAAGTTAGTACCTATTACCACTGCCTTTGCATAACAGGTAAGATTTGTACTCTTAAGTGTTGTTTTTTTCACTTTCACCAGCTGTTAGGTTGCCAGGGAATGACACTTTTGTTAGAATGCATGAGAGAGTTGTAAAATGGTATCATCTAATAAAGAAATGATTTTACCAATCAGATGAAAGACTTAACTTTATTTTTTTCCCATTTGTGTGTGCCCAGACATAAAACTCATAAAAAAACTTACTTTCTCAGTCTGTGCCACGCTGTGTTTGTCTGTCCGTCTGACCATCACGACACCAGTTCTGCAAACTTAAATAAATCTTTTTATTATTGTTGTTTATTAAATTTGTATACCGCCCTATACCCGCAAGTCCCCTGGTAATATATCCGATACAAAAGGTTTCATCTACAGACTACAGAGAACACATAGCATTACAATTTCTGCAGCACTATTTAGTCCTTTTTCATCTTTTTTTCTCCTCCCCCACCAACGTTTTAAGGGTCACTTTTGATGTCACACACACACACCACACTCTCAATTGATGCATCGCCCAGCTGCTCCCTCCCTTCTGGTTGCTTAGCTACTATCTCATAGCTGGGTAGCTCCTCTCTCAACTGTGCAGCTTCTGTGTCTGCCTGTCTCTCTGCTTCTGGAAACACTGGAAGCGGTGTGTGTGTGTGTGTGTGTGTGAATATTTCCCCTCCTCTTCTGTTAGGAACTGACCTTCCTGCAATTGCATTCCCCAATCTTCCGATCCAGACCAGCCCCTGACACAGATAACACAGGGTTCCATTTTTAATGCCTACATTTCATCTGTGAAATGGTGATGCCTCAGTGGCAGAACACACGTTTCGCATGCAGAAGGACCCCAGTTCAAGCCCTGCCTCCTTAGTCCTCTGCCTGGAATTCTGGAGACCTGCTGCCGCTCATTGTAGACAGTGGCTTTGTACATCTTTGTAAACCATTGTTAAACTAACCTATGGTTTAAAAGTGAGCAATCAGAGTGCTGGTGCACCAGGCTGAAATCACTTTGCTCCACCCCCACTCACACTGCTCCTGCCAAAATTTTCAGAAGCATGTAAAAATGTCCCCTGAATTCCAAAGAGGTCTTTAGATAATTTAGGCCTGCATGTCAATGAGCTGAACAGGAATTCACATACCAGAATTCTCTCTTATCCAAGCTAGTCCTGCATATGGTAAACTATCTTTAATTAATGTAAACTAGGTGCATATTTATGGTCATTGCTGATTGCATAGACACACAGTAAATTACCGGTGAAGTGGGAAATTACATTTCTTGCTTCTGCAGACAGCAAAATATCCACAGAACATTGGTTTATTTGAGCTGGGGTTTTCTTTTATGTACTCTAGTTTTCTTTAGTCAGGAGTTGGGGGGAAAGGAAAGAAAGAAGAAGAGTGGTCTTAGTCCATGTCAGTCTTCATACATGAGCAAGATTAATACAAATGGCCTGAAATAAAAGAAAATAGTGTAATTTAATCAATAATGCACAGGTTAACATACTTTCACTTCCATCAATAAACACACAGGACCACCAAAACCAATAAAAATTGTATAGTTTTTAATGTAGTTAATAAGATGCTAATCCCTTTTAGATTTAATCTGTTATTTCCTGATATTAATAGCCAGCTTTAGTATAATCAGAGCAGATCACTCTGTGTTTGCTGGAAAACATCGTATTTGAAAGAAAGCCAACGTGCTTATCCCCAAAGCATTTCTAATGCACTTTGTCTCAAGGGACAGATAAAAGATGGAAGCAATATCTGTAGGCCCAATAATTTAACCATATAAATTACGATGCACAATGCTTCTGGTATCATGACATGTGGATCACAAGTTTTGTTTTAAATGTAACCTAAAATCCAGAATGACAGTGTCATTTGCAGGGATGCTGGTTTTCTCTGTGGCCGGGTACACTTTCAATCACAGTAGATGGCTTCGAATGTGGAATCTTAGTAGATCAAGTTGTCATTCTGCTAGCAAAGCAATTTTCTAGGTTGTAAAAATAAGCTTTGCTATGTGAAAACTAAAGATTTGACATAAAACAAAAATTAGGTGACTTATAGGGCGTGTTGAGTTTTTCAGCTTTCAAATTCTAAAAATGAGGGGAGCTAAATAGTTGAAACATGACTTGGGAAACTTGTCATTTGCATTTCTTCTTAACTGACGTCATTACTTTTTAATGTTGTTTTACGATTACAAGGTAATGTTGTATGCTTCGTAGTATATATCTTAGGCAGAGAAACAAAAATTTATATAACATTACCTGACATTTTCAGAAGGTAAAATTAAAATTCTTTGGTTTTCCAAGAGCAGTTTATGTGTGTTTTAATCAAATGTAGATTGACCAAGCTAAATGTTGTCGAATCACAAAACGTATAGCCAAATTAAATTCCTCACACCCCACAATGTATTTTTAAGACCACTCATTGAATAAATTCGCAAAAATTTAAATTTCACCCCCTAAAAAGACATTCCCTGAGATCTCGACACACGGTTGAATTCAACTGCTTTGATCCAGGAGCTGCTTCCATATATGGGGACCTTGAGAGACTCAGGTGCAGACGCATTCCCGGTACAGTACAGCCCAAGGCTGATGTGCAAACAGAGAAGCCAGTACAAATATGGAGCTCTTGGTGGTGATGCAAAAAACTTAGAATTAGGTTCGGGGGCCCCAAAGGGGTCTGCTACGGTTGGAGAAGATGGGTGATGTCCAACCCAGGAGAGAAAGAAGCAAGAGGCTTTTTATTCTGTTGCAACCATGTTCCCTACGCAAAGGTGACAAAAGGTATGCGGAACCCTGCCCAAAGGTAAGTCCAGAAATTTATACAATCGCAATTGTGGGTGGTCTTGTTTGTCAGTTTACAAGGTAAGGGGGAGGTACATGGGTGTAGGGTGCAAAAGGGAGGTTTGGATGAAAGATACAAGGTGGGGTCGTCCAAATCCTTTCTACATGAGTAAGGTAGTACCTAGAAATCCAGGGAGAGATGGCAAATGATGTGGTTACCCGTTTTTCTAGAATAAGAATAGGGATGAGAGTTTTATCTAAGAGTTGAATTCCTCTTCCCGCAGGGTCAAAGGAAATGGATCTGGTCATCTGGCACTTTACAGAAGAAGGAAGGGGAGCTGAGTGGAAGTGATTAGGTTGAGACTAAAAATAACATTTATACTTTCATGGTTACAATAAAGTTCCAATTCTTATTTTCCTGAAAGTAGTTACAATCATTGAGAAGTTGAACAAACACTGATAAGGCACAAGGATACAAAGGGGTTAATTTCCATTGCAAAGACCCCAAATGTAACAAGTGCGTAAGGGTCACAGTTGGGATTCACTTTTACAAGTAGTAAAGACACAATTACAAGAAAAATACCTAGATACAATTTAGAATTACCTGGATATAATTACAAGGAAATGCTTGGATACAATTACAAAAATAGAGATAGGGTAAATTCAGGAAATAGGGTTCATAGGCAGTGCAGGGAGGAAAGAAAAATGCTTTATTTGACAGAAAGGAAAGAAGGGATTCGAAAGAGGGGAATAATGGCAGAAGCAAATTAAAAGGAGAGCAGATTAAAAAGCAAAATTGAGGGAAAGGTTCATATATCTCTTAGGTTGTCTTCATTTGGTTTATTTGGTCTTGGTTTTCAGCTTCTTTAGCTATTTTTCCTACGCCAATGGCAACTGGATCGGAGCAAAAGCACATTTTATTTTATCCAAATTTATACAGAAATGGCACCGTGTTTGTAAATATTACGAGCATTTGATATTTATATGTGCCAAACAGGATTTTAATATATTTTGTAATGGATGCAGAACACTACTTGAGAAAGTGTGATGCAGAAGTAATTTAACAAACAGCAGGCCAGAAAAGTGGTGCAATTCTAGTTCTGCCCATTAGAGGGCAGAGAGACCTAGTAGCAAAAGCCAACGGATTACCGTATTTGGTGCATTTTATATATGTACTGTTTAGAAAAGTCCCTACTAAAGAGGACACAATTGTATTCACATCAAATTCAGGGAGCCATTGTGTCAGCTCTCATATTTATCTGCTTTGATGTGGTCACTGGAGATATATGCACCCTTTCCAGCAGGCATAATATATGGATGAAGGATTGGATAAAACTGCCCGCCCCCTTTTTCACATCCTTCCTCTCTTCCCCCTGTCTTTGCTTTCCTCCAACTCATTTTTGATACCTGACAATCTACTGGCTGGGTCATTGCAATCACAATATAGTCCCACTCCTCTGCACACATTACAGCAAAACATTATACCACTTTGGGCAGTAAGGAAGAGAGACAGTTTAATTTGTTTACAGACTAGGAGACTATTGGGAAAAGTATAACTTGGGGACAGAGTGCTACCTCCAATGTTGGGCTATGCACTGCCAGTAAACAGATGCTGTGCTTGATTGAGGGATTGCATTCCTGAAAATCTAGGGGGATGCACATATTCATACCGTATGTTCCCCTTAAAACTCTTGTTCTAGTCTCGTTTTCCATAATGATTGATGCTTTTAAAAAGTGTTTAGAGGACTAAAACAAAAGTAGGGAGGCCCACAGAAGTGATGTCAACAAACAAAGTGAATTTTGTGAGTTTTTACTGGGAAACTTTTGAGAGTGCAGGTCTAAGGCTGTGTGCACACCATCCGTTTGAGAGACACCCTTTCCCCAAAATATTCCTAGCAACTCTAGTTTCCCCCTTAGGCAAAGGTAAAGGGACCCCTGACCATTTGGTCCAGTTGCGGACGACTCTGGGGTTGCAGCGCTCATCTCGCTTTATTGGCCAAGGGAGCCAGCGTACAGCTTCCGGGTCATGTGGCCAGCATGACTAAGCCACTTCTGGCGAACCAGAGCAGCACACGGAAACGCCGTTTACCTTCCCGCTGGAACGGTACCTATTGATCTACTTGCACTTTGACGTGCTTTCAAACTGCTAGGTTGGCAGGAGCAGGGACCGAGCAACGGGAGCTCACCCCGTCATGGGGATTCAAACCACTGACCATCTGATCAGCAAGTCCTAGGCTGTGTGGTTTAACCCACAGCGCCACCCGCATCCCTTACCTTTACCTTTACCAACATGTAAAGAGGCAAGCATCAATTGATCCTGCGACAATGAGTCAGGAACTATGGCTTCTCTGACACTGGTGCATTGTTT